CAAGCATTCGGGATCAATGGAGAATGAATAGAATTTCTGCACATGGGACTTTCAATCTATATATGGTCTATATTTACCTATTTGGTCTCTGGTCAGCTTGGAGGCCCACCTTGGGCCACAGTCTTGTCTCATGAGAAGAACACATAGTTGGTGCTTAAAGGAGTCTGCAGCATCTCATTACCGGTAGTGCACCCAGGTCCCTTTCTTTGTCTCTCCAAAGTGTCACCACCCGATCTTTTGAAAGATATGAGTCCCTTCATCATGGGCTAAACCACCACCCAGTTATTTTTTCACACTCAAAAGAGACAAAGGAAACCAGCCTGTAAGATGGAACCTCATTTAAAAACATCCCGTGCAGCATCTGAAATGAAGGAGGCTGCCTGGGACCAGGCCCGGTCAGGGCCTGGTCTCGAAGCGTCCACCAGAAACTTGCCAACGAGGGCAAAAATGGCAAACTCTCCCAGGATGCTTCAGCAGGTCGCCCGTTTTGAAATTTTCCTGGGGAACTTTGCCACGGAGTGCAAACCTAGCTGAAGCTCTACACCTGCCAAATCCTCTAGGCTCTGCTGAGCTAGGGTTCATAGTCCAGGTCTTGACCTTATCAGAGTTAGCCTGATTTATGATGGAGTGCATAAAAACCACTTGCATTTAAAGAGAGCTGTTGACGGACCCTGAGCCCACATTCTCCCCTGTTGTCCTGTGGGAAGTGTGCCGGATATGGCTACCATTACCATTGCTAATAATATTGGTTTGGCCAAAAAGTTCGTTCGGGTTTTTCTGTAAGATGCTATAATAATAAGAAGGGTGTGGTCGCCTGGTACAGCATTTTATAGTGCCAAGCAGTTTTACTTGCATTATTTAATTGGTCCCCACAAGTCTGTGCAGTAGGGAGCTGTCTGAGCACAAGGAAGTTGTCCAAACTCTCTGGGCCTCAGTTTCTCCATCTCTAAGCTGATAATAGAGCCTCTTAAGTTATTGTGAGGATTAAATAATGTAACACCCATGAAGCCCTTAAAGAAAATAGCGCCTGGCATGTACGACTTTTTTTCTTTTTTCTTTTTTTAACAAAGAATTTACTTTATTAGAAATAAAAATGGGACTTCCCTGGTGGTGCAGTGGTTAAGAATCCACCTGCCAATGCAGGAGACACAGGTTTGAGCCCTGGTCCAGGAAGATCCCATATGCTGCGGAGCAACTAAACCCATGTGCCACAACTACTGAGCCCACGTGCCACAAATACTGAAGCCTGCATGCCACAACTACTGAAGCCTGCATGCCTAGAGCCTGTGCTCCGCAACAAAGAGAAGCCACTGCAATGAGACTGCACACCGCAACAAAGAGTAGCCCCCTGGGCTTCCCTGGTGGCGCAGTGGTTGAGAGTCCGCCTGCCAATGCAGGGGACACGGGTTCGTGCCCCTGTCCGGGAAGATCCCACATGCCGCAGAGCGGCTGGGCCCGTGAGCCATGGCCGCTGAGCCTGCGCGTCCGGAGCCTGTGCTCTGCAGTGGGAGAGGCCACAGTGGTGAGAGGCCTGCGTACAGCAAAAAAAAAAAAAAGAGTAGCCCCTGTTTGCCACAACTAGAGAAAGCCTGCGCACAGCAACGAAGACCCAACGCAGCCAAATAATAAATAAATAAATACATTTATTTAAAAATAATAATAATAAATTGTTATGATGCAATGATCTGCTAAGTGTTTTTTCTTTTTTTAATTGAAGTTTAATCAATTCACAATGTTGTGTTAGTTTCAAGTGTACAGTAAAGTGAGTTAGTTATACATACACGTATACCTAGTCTTTTTCAGATTCTTTTCCCATGTAGGTTATTACAGAGTATTGAGTAGAGTTCCCTGTGGTTTATCTATTTTATATACAGTAGTGTGTATCTGTTAATCCCAAATTCCTAATTTATCCCTCCCTCCCCCACTGCCTTCTTTAATAACCATAAGTTTATTTTCTACGTCTGTGAGACTATTTCCATTTTGTAAATAAATTCATTTGTATCTTTTTTTTTTTTAGATTCCAACTAATTTCTTAAATGTTTGAAATTACTGATAGGCAATTTTAGTCTCTCTTTTTTTTAAATTAATTTATTTATTTTCATATTTATTTTTGGCTGTGCTGGATTTTTGTTTCTGTGCGAGGGCTTTCTCTAGTTGCGACAAGTGGGGGCCACTCTTCATCGCGGAGCGCGGGCCTCTCACTATCGCGGCCTCTCTTGTTGTGGAGCACAGGCTCCAGACGCACAGGCTCAGTAGTTGTGGCTCACGGGCCTAGTTGCTCTGCAGCATGTGGGATCTTCCCAGACCAGGGCTCGAACCCGTGTCCCCTGCATTGGCAGGCAGATTCTCAACCACTGTGCCACCAGGGAAGCCCCAATTTTAGTCTCTTTAGGAGAGGAAAGCCAGATTCAGAGGGGCTAAGTTTATGAATAAGATACCTGGGCATTAAGGAAGGAAAACAGAGGGGGACTACCATGCAAATGGGGCCAGACTTTCCCACACTGGATTTCCAACACGAGCCATACAGCATTTGCCTGTCAACTTGGCAACAGAGGAAATACTGAATCTTCAAAAGAAAAAAAAAAAAGATGAAGGCATAGTGTTGCCAAAGAAAGAAATTTAGAAAAAAACAAAAACCTTGCACTTTTCAAACAATTGAACCCTTCTCATCTTTATATTTAGGTCTAAATAACTGAGGGATCATCATATTCAGAGATAATTAGGTTTGAAAAAGGTCTCTTTGCTCCGAGCCCTCCACTGAGGGCTTTTGAAGGCCTGCACTGTGCTTGGGGTTTCACATCCACGTGGCCTCCCTCATTTTGGTTATTTCCTCCCCAAACAGAAGTTCAGCTGGCAAAGCCCTCGAAAGCAGAGGAAAGTGTGATCCTGGTGCCTCGGACCCCAGGTCTCCTCAGGAATGAAGGTTTTCGGGGCTCTCATGGTCTTTGTCTCCTGCCGTAAGTAGTAACAGCTGAGTGAGCTCAAAGGCGCTGTCCTGTCTGTGTGTCTGTGTCCGGGGTGGTCCCTTCTCAGGTAGCATCAGGTGAGGGGAAATCAGGTGTCACTCAAAGGGGAATCGGGAGTGGAACGGCCCCCACCAAAGTCCTCCTGCTTCTGCTTCTCCTACAAAATGGGTTGATCTTGGTGTTGGGATCTCACAGAACGTCTAGAAAATCAAAGGTTGCTAACCGTTTGCTAAGAAAGAGAGCATTTGACAATTGTTTTACCACACACACACCATTCAGGAGTCTTTTTTTCATTTGGTTGCTAGCTGCCTTTATTTAAAGTCTTGTGGATTCCAGGACAAAAATGCAGACACATATCTAGCTAATTTAGGAATGATTAATTCTCATCAGAAAGCCATTCTTACGGTGACCTAAGGAATAATTAGTAATTATAAGTCATTGCTACCAGGAGATCTGATTACCTACCTCTGCAAAGTGAAAGAGAACTTACTAGGAAACCGTGTTGGGTTTGTTGGAAAACTCTTTGACTCCTTGGTTTGATCAGATGAGTAGAGATTTGCTCAAATCCATTTTTCTATCTGTTTCAGCTGTGAAGCAATCGCTTTGGGCTTCCTAAGTCAAAATGTCAAAAATGGGGTTCCCTTTTCCCTTAGTCAGTGGTGGAATTTACAGTTTTCAAGATCATGATGTTAGAGGCAGGGGACCCATGTGTAGGAAGAGCCACTGCTGCAGCCCCCATCGTGTACCCCAAGAGCAGTGTCTGAGTGTGGTCCTGCCCTCTCTCCAGGGGCTGCTCCAGCCCCAGAGACCACCCCCAGGCTTTGGCCCCCTCTGCAATGTTTTGTGACAACAAGGCACCCAAAATCACAGTATGAGGTTGGAAGGCTCCTGGGAAAATTTCCCCAAACCTCCTGTCTTCGATTTTCTTCTTCAAGTTCATGTTTTTATTTTATTTTTATTGTAAAATTAATATCTGCTTTTAATTAAAAAGAAAAATACACAGAGTAACAAGAGTATAGAATATGGAGTAACAAGACAAAGCCCCTTCTCATCCTTCCCAGACCTTGATCCTTTTCCTACACTCAGATGTAAGCACTCTTCAGAGTTTGATATACATCCTTCTAGGCCTTTATATATGTACATTTCAAACATTTCAATAGAAAAGTAAAACACGCTTTTTGTAAGAAAAAAATATATATATATATCAGACAGCAGAAAAGTATTTAAGATAAATGTTGCCTGTTGTTTTTCTCCACCTACTTCCTCAGTCCCATTGCCTAGTGATATTGCTAAAAGTAGTATGTTTTCAAGACATCATTTAGTTATTATCTCCCTGTCCATAGGCATGTGGGTAGTCTCCAATTTTTTGATATCACAAATGATGCCGCAGCAAACATCCCTGTATATATATATATATATGTATATCCATACATACATGCATATATATATCCATACATACATACATATATCCATCCATCCATCTATCTATCTATATCTATCTCTATCTATCTATCTATCTATCTATATATATATATAATTTTCCCCCCTCACTTTCCTAAGCATTTTGTAGAAGTAAAAATTGCTAGGTCCATGTGTATTTGTCATTAAAAAAATGGATTGACGACAACTTTTTCTACCTCTTGAGTATTTTGTTTCTCCTGTGAGGTTGTACATGCCTGATGGTATTTGCAAGGACTACATTTCTGGCTTTGAACCTTTCTCATTAATGTTTAACATCAGATCTGAGAGTGTTTCTGCCCAGGATGGTGGTCTTTTACTTTGGGGAGAAGACTGTAGTTGATAGTATTGTCCTGAATGTCATGGAAACTGGGTTCTCATCCTGGGCTAGCGAGACACTAGCTGTGTGACGCGGTAAGCATGACCCTATCTTGTCCCCGTTAAAGGGGCTGATGCCCAGGCACCACATTTAGGGGTCTCCTGATATCTGAATGCTAAGCGCTCTGGCTAGGAGACCTGAAAGCAGCATCTTTCTCGTCGCATCTTCGCTTCTTCCTTATTTTCTCCTTGGCAGTGATGGCCCCCACCCATGGAAGCTTCTGGCAGTTTCAAAGGATGGTCAAACACATCACAGGGCAGAGAGCCTTCTTCTCAAATTATGGATACGGCTGCTACTGCGGGCCTGGGGGCGTAGGGGTCCCCATGGATGACACTGCCAGGTGAGTGCAGAGGCTCTGAGGCCTCCTGCCGGTTCATTTTCTTGAAGAGAGAGAGGGTATTAGGACCCTTGCATTGTAAGGAACCGAAACCAATTCAGGTGAGCCTGAGGGTAAGAAAAAAACTAAATGGGAGTGGGAGGGTGGTCTTGAGGAACCCAAGGCTGGGGCTGGCTTCCTGTGGCCTATGCCCTATACAGGGCCCGCCTGAGGTTCCCTGCTCTGTCACCTTCTGGAAATGCTTGACAATGTTTGAATAAGGGGCCCCTCGTCTTCATGTTGCACCAGGCTTTGCAGATTACGTGGTCAGCCCTGCCCAGAGCTCTAGAATGTTCAGCTCTCAGTCCTCATGGTAAACGTGGTCTTCTCTCAGGCCTCCAGTTTTTAGGATTACAGATGCAGCAAGACTGACCAACTGTCTCCCAGTCCTAATTCCATTTTCCAGGAAAGAGAATCCAAGTGGCCCAGTTTGGAAAAGTCGTCCATCTGGGTGAGGACACACGGCACAAACTTGGCTGCCAGACCTACTTCTAAGGATGGGGGTGGGGGAGGGCAAATTCCCAGAAAAGGGGGAGGCTGGTGTTAATCTGGGGAGGGGACAGGGAGGTAGGAAACAGGATGGTTTGTGTGTCTTTTTATTTGAAGAAAGAAGCAGCAAAATGTTCCTGGTCACTTTCACCGTAGTGTGGAGAAATATATCCCCATAGTAGGGCGTGAATATCACTCCTGGAGCTTGATTCCTCTGGTTCGGGCTCCTGAGACCATGGAATGTTCCAGCTGGAAGGACCCCAGAGCCCTTGAGGGGACCTGACACTGATGAAATGCCCGTCACATCCTGAGCCCCGGGATTGGTGGTTTGCATGCAGGGTTTGGTTTAATGCTCCCAGCACATGGCCGAGGCTGTGCCACCGTCCCCATTCTACAGGTGACAACGGTGAGGGACCCACTAAACGAAACAGCAGAGCCAAAGACACAGAGCCCTTGAGTGGCAGGGTCAAGGTTTGAACCAGAATTTGCCTGTTTCAAAGTCCGGGCCCTTTGACACTCTGTGCCTCCCCTTCCAAGTCCTGTGGCTGGTGAGAATTTTAACACTATTAGCCAACGATGACCAGTGGCAAAGAGCCCACGTGTGGATGGGGACGGTGAGTGAGGAAGACAGAGCGTCCAGCCCAGGGCATCGGCCAGAAGCTGATCCTTTTCATGTCTTAGAATCCAGCCCCAGATCTCTGTGTTCCTGCCACTCAGACATGGTGGAAGAGGGGGGCTGAGGCCGTCCCCCAGCTGTTTTCTCTCCTCCCGTGCTCTCCCCTGCTGGCACGCCCACCCCTCCCCTGGCCAACCCTGAGCCTCAGGAGAGCAAAGACTGAAGGATTATGTCTGATGTGCTGACCCTTTCTGCTCAGAGCCTCTCCCAGGGCTGGGCACATATTCAGTGCTCAGTCAAAAGTCATTAAATGAATGAATAAGTCATGGGCACCTAGATTTGAGTCCTGACTCTATCACCTTCCAGCCGTATGATTTTGGGAAATTCACCTCTGGATCTCAGTTCCTCTCCTATAAAACGGAGACAAGGACTGCACGTCCTAGGGTTACTGTGAGGCACTCATGAGACAGCAGTAGATAGAGGAGGGCTCTTTGTGTGATTTTTTTTTTTTTTTTTTGCGGTACGTGGGCCTCTCACTGTTGTGGCCTCTCCCGTTGCGGAGCACAGGCTCCGGATGCGGAGGCTCAGCGGCCATGGCTCACGGGCCCAGCCGCTCCGCGGCATGTGGGATCTTCCCGGACCGGGGCACGAACCCGCGTCCCCTATT